GCGGTTTCATCTTAAGGACCGGTCTCCACGTCCCGCAGCTCAAAACTAGATCCTATGTCTTTGACAATTAAATTGAATGGATCAAATAAATACTTTTAAAAGTTTTCATTGTTTAAAATCATATATGTTGGATCAATAGATCTTAGATTGCAATCTCACTATCACATACTGTTTAGTTGGGTATGACAACAAAAATCGCACTATGATATACAAATGTATTCATATGAACCTCGTCAAGGCATTTGCCAGGTTTTTGATTTAATAAATCTTTTATCATCGTTCAAATGAAGTATATTTTTAACAACAACATTTAGATTATAAAATATTTAAACAAGAGGCCCCAGAACCACAAGTTCTTCGGCTCAGGTGAGCTAATTAAAATTTTGAATTTATTTCTTTAATAAATTGCCGATTAAAAATGATATAAACAAAAATGTTTATACCCATTACCATGGTAACATTCTTAGTTTTGATTTAATTTATAATTTGATGCATTTTTTCTACCTGCAAATATTTTACATGTCAATCATGAATGTCTCGTAATCTTGATTCTGTGTACCAATATTATTGAAATGTTCATAAAGTATGATTCTCAAATTTTCATAGAGAACTGAGTATTTTGGCTTTCATGTGCTCAAAATTGTTGCTATGGGTTAATCAAGTAAACAAAAAGAGGTTAAGCCACGAAATACAAAATACGGCCTAGTTACCAAAATAAATGAAACTCTCTCAAATAGAACTCAAGGGTTTGTAGGTTATATTGCAATTTACCTTTTAACAATATCTTTTCTAGTTTTCATTTTAGAGTCCTTTAAAGTTGGTATTGTATTCCAAGTGAATACCACAGAACGTCATATAACGTTAACGTTTTATATTATGTTGTAACGTCATGACGTTTTATATTATAACGCCATGACGTTACATTATCTATATAAGGTAAAATTAATGTTCATGGTTGATAATCCATCAAACTACGCTTTAATTCAACTATTTAGGAAAAAATTTACCATATTTCCTGTGATTTTCTATTTGAGATGACTAGTAATTGCTTTCTAAGTCACCGTCGTCCAATAACTAAAGGTGTCCGAGTGGCAACCAAGCCATTTTCATTTTTTTTTTTTAAATCGGTTTCTCATCGTATATCACATCGCTGGATAATGTGACTGATACTTAATTTAATGCTATTTTTGTGCCAAACATTTGTTTAAAAAAAAATTAGTAAAGTAAGACATAAAGGACGCTATAGATTTATACATGGAAAAGAATCGACTCATCATAATTGTAGATGAGTGAAAGAAGTATTGGCTTTAAATTACATATATTGATTATTATCCAGTTCCCATTATTTTATTTTACATATACTCAGTACTTATGGTTGCAGAATTATATGCATCTCTGACATAAAGCATGAACTAATATGTTGAATGTATCAGTTCAATGTTTTTTTTATAATAATGAGATTAAAGTCTTATTTCAATAAATTCTTTTACAAATAGTACATTCTATAAACCTCAATACCTCATGTATTTGCTTTTATAAATGACATCTTTGTTTGCACAATAATTCATGTAAATGTTCAATGTTGTCATTTTTGATATCCAGTAATTTGCACTCTTTGCTTTAAGACAATATACACTCTTTGATTATCAGTCACCCTCTGTTGTATGCTCTCTGTAGCTTTTAACACAACTGCATGGTAAGCAGTTGGTAGTGCATTATGCATTGCATGGATCATTATGATTAACCAGTCACTTTTAGCAAAGAAACTGAGGTTTCTATATAGTGTGACACTTTGTAATGGATATACATGTAATATCTTAGCATAATGAAGAACTCTCTCTCTCTGTCTGTATTTGTTTTCCTTTAATTCTCTTATCTTTTTTTTAAATGAGGAAAGTCTGCAATATCACCGTTTTAAAAGAAAACAAAGCACTCTCGCAAAGAGTGCATCTATAAATCAAAGCAGAATTTTATGTCAATTTTGATGCAAATTACGTCGCTCCTTTTCGCACAGCACAAAACTCACTCACCCATAAACAAACAAACCCACACACACTTGTGTTACTTTATCCCCTCGGCTCCAACTCCATTAAGAGGGGGTATTAATGAAAGAGGTTGCAATATATCAGTGTTTTAAAAGAAAAGAATATCAGAAGGTTTTGCTGAAATAAAAAAAAACCAAATTTTTTAATCAATGTAACTAAAAAGAATTTCTCTCTCTCTCTCTCTCTCTCTTGGAGTTTGTGTGTGTTTAGGGGGATGTTTGTTTTCTAGCTTTCTCTTAAAAAGGGTTTAAAATACTTCATTTAAAAAAAACAAAATCAAATCTTTATATATACATATATTAAAAAATATTTATTCAATATTAAGAATTTGAGATACAATGTTACACACATATTGGTATTATACTGTCTGTGCAATAAGTTGCCTATTATCATGCATACATCTTACTTACTCAGAGTATTGAAACTGCATACATCTTACTTACTCAGAGTATTGAAGCAGCTGCTTCTTCTCAGAATTAAAATTCTTTTTATGATGTGATTTATTTCCACATTTGCCAAATACAATTGCAAACATTTTACATAAAAGTTGAAATAAATATAGGCTACATCTGGAGGGGCTAATGTGTATGTTAAATTAATGGGAAAAAATTATACGTGAAGATGCCCACTGTACCAATACCGTATCTAACATAACACTAACACAGTAAATCAAATATGAGAAAAGAAACAAAACATTTACATGTTCGTATACCCGACATAACACTCACATTGTATATATGGAGCGGCCAATTACCGAACCTACAAAACACTCACATGGTAAATCAAATGTGAAAAAAGAAATTATTTTACATAAGGAGCAGCCAATTACTACATCCAACATAACACTCACATAGTAAATCAAATGTGAAAAGGAAAATTATTTACATATAGAGCGGCCAATTACCACACCCGACAAAAACCTCATAAAGTAAATCAAACATGACAATCAAAAGAAATCATTTACTTATGGATTTACTTATGGATTTTTTCCGTTATTTCCTGATTATGACAACGAGCACAAGGCGGGTGTGACCGGTCGGCAGGGGATGCTCACTCCTCCATGGGACCTGATCTCACCTCTGATGTTTCAGAGGTCCGTGTTTGCTCTGCTCTTATTTTGTATATTTGTTTAATGGACGTTGAGATTGAATACTGTTCGTTATTTCCATATCCTTCCTTATGGAGCAATTACCTCACCCAACAAAACACTCACATAGTAAATCAAACATGAAAATAAAAAAAATATTTACACATGGAGCGGCCAATTACCGCATCCGACATAACACTCACATAGTAAATCAAACATGAAAATAAAAAAAAATATTTTCATATGGAGCAGCCAATTACCGCATCCGATATAACACTCACATAGTAAATCAAACATGAAAATAAAAAAAAAATATTTTCATATGGAGCGGCCAATTACCGCACCCAACATAACACTCACATAGTAAATCAAACATGAAAATAAAAAAAAAATATTTACATATGGAGCGGCCAATTACCGCATCCGACATAACACTCACATAGTAAATCAAACATGAAAATAAAAAAAAATATTTTCATATGGAGCGGCCAATTACCGCATCCGAAATAACACTCACATAGTAAATCAAACATGAAAATAAAAAAAAATATTTACACATGGAGCGGCCAATTACCGCATCCGATATAACACTCACATAGTAAATCAAACATGAAAGTAAAAAAAAAATATTAACATAAGAGCGGTCAATTACCGCATCCGACAGAACACTCACATAGTAAATCAAACATGAAAATAAAATAAATATTTACATATGGAGCGGCCAATTACCGCATCCGATATAACACTCACATAGTAAATCAAACATGAAAATAAAAAAAAATATTTACATATGGAGCGGCCAATTACCGCATCCGACATAACACTCACATATTAAATCAAACATGAAAATAAAAAAATATTTACATATGGAGCGGCCAATTACCGCATCCGAAATAACACTCACATAGTAAATCAAACATGAAAATAAAAAAAAATATTTTCATATGGAGCGGCCAATTACCGCATCCGAAATAACACTCACATAGTAAATCAAACATGAAAATTAAAAAAATATTTACATATGGAGCGGCCAATTACCGCATCCGACATAACACTCACATAGTAAATCAAATATGAAAATAAAAAAAAATATTTACATATGGAGCGGCCAATTACCGCATCCGACATAACACTCACATATTAAATCAAACATGAAAATAAAAAAAAATATTTTCATATGGAGCGGCCAATTACCGCATCCGACATAACACTCACATAGTAAATCAAACATGAAAATAAAAAAATATTTACACATGGAGCGGCTAATTACCGCATCCGATATAACACTCACATAGTAAATTAAACACAAATATGAAATAAAAATTTTTTTTCATATGGAGCAGCCCATAATTTCTTTTTTTTTTTTTTTTACATAACAGTCATGCAGTAAATCTTTAACAAGAAAATTAAATCTAAGAAACTATTTACACATTAAGTGACACATTGCCAAATCTGACATAACACTCACAGAGTAATCAAATGGGAAATCTGAATGAAATAAAATATTTACATATTTAGCAACCCATTGTAAATGGCTGTCAATTTATCTGAAGTTTATTCTTCTGTTTCACTACCTCCTTCATCTGAAGATTCACTTTCATCAACTGGTGTTGGAATGCTGTTTGCATCCTCAACAAAGTCTCCCCAGTTTCGAACACCAAATCCAGTCTGGATATTGTGTCGGGCATTTCCAAGATACCACGGAATGGCAGCAATGTGGGAGCACATTCCAACTACCCTTGCTCCAGCCCTGCATTTACAGTACCATGCAATAATATTTCCTTCATCATACTTGATCCATAACTGATATGTTCTTGATGCGACATGCCGACTCTGTAACCGAACCCTGACAAGACCTGGGTCCGCCGTCATAAAACTTTGAGAATTCTCAAAAAAATTCTCAACTCAAGTCTTGAGAATTACTCAGCTAAGAATTTTCTTAAATCGGCCGTCATAAAACGATTTGAGACTATTCTCAGCTGAGTAATTCTCAAGACTTGAGTTGAGAATTTTCTCAAGATTTTTTTCTCGCGAGACTGTTTTCGCGGATTTTTTTCGCTGATTGAAGCGGCCCAGCGGAGCTCTTTTTTGTCAAAAGGTAAGAAACAACTTTGGTTACATGTAAATAAATAAATAAATTACGTATACCTAAATATTTATTGTCGTCTGCTTTGTGTATTGATAACAATGGAAGAGAGAAAAGGGAAACGCTCTCAAAACTGGAGCAGTGGGGAAGAGGTGGCCCTAATAGAGAGCGTCAAACAACGTGCGGATACGTTGTTTGGGCCTTTTAAAGGAAGTGGGGCGAGGGGAAAACAGAGGGAAATACGGGAGAGGGAGTGGCAATGCATTGCCGACGCTCTGAACTCGTAAGAATGATTATAAGCTGTCGCAAATTTCTATCAAGCATGCATTAATGCTGTATTGCACATGTGTTGTATATTTATTTTTATACCTTGGGTTTCTTAAAATCTATTTTTGGAACAATAGTAAACATGGTAAACAAAAACACGTAATTCAGATGTCTGTCTGAATTCACAACTGATAAAAAAAATTCATGTAGTTCTGGAAAAAATATTCAATTTTACGAATCAATGGTGAGAACTCATTACCTTGGAAGCTTTTTTCCATTAATTGTGTCTATCCACTATGGGTAGACACAATTAAGGGAAAAAAGCTTATGGGCCATAGATGCAGGAAGGGACGCTAAAGCTCTACAACCAGGGTATTTTTTTCAAAATGTACTGATTTGTGTGACAGATTAAAGTATAACATTAGGCCCTATATAAATGTGAGGGAGAAAACATGATTTTGACCAAAAATTAAGTATTCATGAAAAAACTTCAAAGTACTTACTAATTGGCATAATGATATATGCTCAGAAAAGAAAGTCTGCCCCCTTGTCCTACACTACATATATTGTCACTGCATGTTTATGTAAGAGTGATGATTTATTAATTAATTTCTAATTAATTAATAAATATCAAATTATTTTGTATTCTATTTGTATATATTTTTATTTCAGCTTATTAGATAAGTGTATGGCCATTCAGGTGTAACAGACTGCTACCCTGTTATTTGCCTTTAGGGATATAATTAAGGCCCTGGCCATAAGTTATATAAGTCATTTGTTTCTATTGGGTTTTAGTTTTGTGTTCTTGTGTTTTATTGGTTTGTCAAATTCCCTCCAAAGTGTTCTTGGTTCTTTCTGGTCACTCTTTGTCCAGATTCTGTTGATAGAGAGGTTCCATTTTGTTGTGACAGAATTTGACCAATTGACTATTGACCTAGACTATGTTCATCTTCTGTTATCATCTGGACTCCCAGCTATATACTGTAGTGGTGTGATAAACCATATGGGTGCTTGCCTATTCCCTCACAATAGGCAATAGTGAATATACTTATATCTACAACCATTAATAAACAGTGTGTCGAACCCTGACAGGTGTTTTCGTTATAACGATTCCATAACCCTGTTACATTCAGTTTTTTCATCACCCTTTATTTTAACATATTTATACATTTTTCACCTCATGGAGCATTAATCAGAAATTTTAAATGAAAATAATTTAAACATATGGAAGTAAACCATAATAGCTCGCATTCATTTTACTCAATTTTTCATTATTTATGTTTCCATTTACATGCACTTTTTGTGCTTTAATTTGATAGCCTGGATGAATGTCTAGTTCATAAGGAGTTACATTATTAAAAATATTAAAATACTTCATACCACTGCATACATTTAGTACTTCTTTTTTTTTTTTTTTTTTTTTTTTTAGACAATTTGATAGCAAGAGAAGGGATACACAAGAGGTGAAGAAGAAGTATTACAACATCAAATCAAGAAGTAAGAATTTCATAATAAATACATAATATATACTTTTAATTCTGTGCATTGACTCTGGTAAATATTTAAATGTTTTGAATTCTGAAAATTATCCAGAAAAATATTTTTGTTTACATTTATTTTTTTTTTATTTATTTTCTATTTATTTTGTTAATTTTCTATGATCCTGGAGTTTTATCGGGTAAACTTGATGAAAATTAGTACAATACTGCAGTAAGGTTTCAATAATGAAAAAAAAGAATGTGAAAACTAGGTTAGTCTACAGTGAGTTTTATGCACAATGGTTTCTTTAGGAAAGAAAATACATGTATGACTATAAGTTAAGTTTCATGCCTGCCAGAGCCTCATATTCACAGATACTGGCCTATATCTACAATGAAAATCAAAAAACTTTAAGATGTCTTTTTATTAAACAGGCAAAGAGAAATTAGATGGGATGAAGAGACCCAAAACTGGTGGAGGTCCACCACCCCCACCATTTACTCCTGGAGAGGAGACATTTCTTCAGCTCTCTAGTGGTGAACCACATTTGGAAGGCTTGGAGGGAGGGATAGACACAGATGGTAATAAAAAAAAATTAGCATTGAATCATTATTTTTGCAAGATATATTAAATAACTATAGTCTCATAACTACAACGGTGTGTGTGCAAACAAATTGAATAACACACATTAGCTTTTACTGTGACCCATTTCACACACAGGGAAACCTAAAAAACAAATTCATTTATTATTGAATGTATAGTATAGTGCTACAGTGGAATCTCATTTATCCAGATGCTTTGGTTCCTAGTCAATTTGTCTGGATATGTGAAGCATCCAAATTCCTGAATCACCAGTTAAACAGGACAAAATAACATTTAAAAATTCTGTCCTGATGAAAAATTGTCTGGATACTGAAGCATCCAGATATATTGGTGTCCGGATATCTGAAGGTCCACTGTATATTCAACTGTTTACTTTAATTGCCAAAGCTATAGCTTCGGACACTAATTATAAGGGTTGATGCCCTATAAGATTTTTAATTCGTTTGTTTCTTCAATTATGGTAAGTTTTTTTTTTAATCAATTTTTGTTTTTACAGCTCCAACAGTCAGTTCCATCACAGTCCAACTCCCTGAAAATGCCAATAAGGAAAATGTGGAAAGAAATGCACAAGGTATTGATTTGTCCTTAATTACACAGATTTTAATATATGGAGTGTAAAATTAGGACAAAAAATTTATTTAACTAGACAATGCAAAATGATGTTGATTTAATTTGTTCAGTATCTGTTTATTTTTGAAATTCTTAATTATTAATGAGAAGAAAAAAAATTGATTAACAAAGTTCAAGATAAATTTATAAAAAAAAAAAATTTATAAAAAAAAAAAAGAGGAACTTTTGAGACACATTTGATGAATAATTTTGCAGATTTAGATTCTTTGTTTAACACCCAAACAAGACAAGAAGCTGGCACATCATCTGTTAGCCACAAGATAAAAGAAAAGAAAGGTTTGTTTGCAAAATGTAGCCCCCCCCCTCTCTCTCTCTCTCTCTCTCTCTCTCTCTCTCTCTCTCTCTCTCATATCAAATAAAAAGAGAAAATAATATTCATTCACATAATTCATATATTTATTTGATTATATTGATATGAATTATTGATAAAAATAATTGTAGTTAAATTAATAGACAGTTCAATATATTTTTGAGTGTGACATACTGTACAATATTTTTATTATAAAAAAATTAAATAGTGTAATTTCTTTTCAATTAGGCTGACAATTACCAAAAACTTAAGAAAATAGCACAAAGCAGAATTCAAGTGATTTTTTTCGGCAAATAGAACACATATATTGAATCATTTCAATATGATCTGACAATAAATTAGATGAAAAAAATGTTAATACAGTACACAGTACATTTAATATGTAAAACCAATTTGACATAAATAAAATATAAAAAAGGACAATTTTTATAAACTTTTAGATTTAATGCATTTGAAATTTAATTTGATAGGTGAAAACAACAGAAGAAAGCGTGAAGAGCTAGAAGAGGAATATTTGAAGCTTGATAACGAAAGATTACAGCAGGTGATCCTAAACGCCAAGAAAGAGAGGGAAATTCTGGACCTCCAGAAGGAAGTTCTCGAGCTGAAGAAGCAGAAGCTTATGTTGGATATTCAAACTAATTACCCTGAAATGTTGGTTAACATCTCATCAGAACTTTAATTATGCTTTTATTTTATCTTTAACTCATATGAACCAACAGTTCTGATCACTGTTGTCTGTCTGTCAAGCTGTCTGTCCTTCAGTCTGTTCTTATTGGGTGTTGTCATGGTTACTAAAATAGAAACTTGTGTGATTTTTTTTTCAAAACAATTATAACTCTTCTAATACAGTTTAATCCTGATCTTAACAAGACTGTAAACACGAGTAGACAATACATACTATTTAATGAATATCAGACTTCTGGGTTTTACATATCAAGCTTTTATAAAAGGCGTTTCCACCATCACAATTTTAATGGTTGAAAGTCAGAAAAATGGGTTTATTTTCACACAATATAGTTTAATTAACAAATGAATTGCAAAAGAAATCATAGGTTGCCTTATTTTTTAAAAATAGAAACCCTAAACAAGCAGAAGTATATTTCAGTATAAAAAAATCGAGCCAGACAATTCTTACATTTTAATTACTTTATAAATAATTTTGAATTGTGAATGTCAGGAAACTATTTTACATTAGAAGTACAATAAAGTAGTTACTGAATGAAACAAGATGTGTTTGTGAAACACTATGCGCCCGGCGGCAACAAAGTTCAAAAAATCTATTTTTAGCATATTGGTCACAGTCAAGGTCACAAGGTCATTGACCGTGGTGTATTATTAACTTAATTTTTCAGTAAAATGAATAAATAAAAATAATTGAAATAATAACATTTTTAGCTAGACCTCTGACATCACACAAGGATGTAAATACCTTAAATTGTGCAAATTCAAGTTAGCTTAGATCTTAATTTACCAAGGCGAAACAATGTGAATTATGTGAGTATTGTAGCTCATAGGCCTATTATATTTTAAAAACCTTTGAAAACATGTTGTATATGTGTGAGAAAGAGAAATTAAGAGAGAGAGAGAGAGAGAGAGAGAGAGAGAGAGAGAGAGCAAATCTGATTCATTTTCATGAAAAATTAAGTTAATAAAATTAAATATATGAATGTTTTATCTGACTTGGCTTTATTGTTTACTTCTCTGGATAATCTCAAGTAAACTAGGGACACTTATCAATCTAAAGTTTGCATTAATATTTCTTTCAAAAAAATCCCTGTGTTATCGCTGCCCTCTTCAACACTCCATCATTGCGGACTTGTCCTGGTTCCATGATATGCTGCTGGATGCAGGCGGCAACATCAATGTTTGTCAAATTCTGCTGCACACAAATGTCCCCCCTGTCAATTCCCAGATTATGCAGTACCACACAAGCTGTAATGAACTGTACTGCTTGGTCTGGGGATACCCTGAACCCGGTTTGGAGAGCTTGGAATCGCCTCTTCATGATGCCAAAGGTCTGCTCAATCAAGACACGGGTCTGACATAGGCTGGCATTATACCTCTCCTCAGATCGTGTCACTGGTGCTAAGTAGGGCGTCATCAGATATCTTGTGAGGGGGTATCCAGAATCACCGAGCAGAATCCCATCATGCAACCCTGAAAAGAGTATTAAAAAAGGCTATATAAATGCATGCTTAAGTCAAGCTAGAACATATGATTAATGGCTTTAAAGAATGACTGCACTTAAGCTATGAGAGTTGGAACCTTTTTGTCTACCCATTTTAAGCTTAACATTACAATATATCAATAAATTAATCTATGATTAATGTGCAAGCACATGCTTGTGATATTTATTTCTAGAATTTTTTGTCATACATATTTCTATAATTACAGAAAATGTAATTGAAAAGAACATGTAAAAGCCTTAAATTCCGGAAATTTGAACGGGACCAATTTCGAATCTAAGGTATCCGCAAATAGGCGGAGTCATTTAAACCGCATGGTTGTCGAATGTAAACATTAGCACATATGATTTTTTTTCGCACTACGAATTTAAATGGAGAAGAGAGAGATCTTGTCGATTTTATGGTGCACAATTATGAAATGATTCTGATGATAAGGGATGGGGTAGATGTCTCGCTCTACAGACCATAATACAGAGGCGACATAAGCCTATAGATACACGTACTTACTATTGACACTGTCAATGCCAGATTTCTTTCCAAACACCCCTAATGTAAAACATAAAGTTTAATAAGAGACATTTTATCTTCAAACCCTATTAAAATTTGCGCAAAAATATCCCATAGTTTGAAGTACAATAGATACTATCACAACAGAGACTTACACACAACGAAATGTTCAATGAAAGCATAAGCGTATCGAACAGCAGAATGTCACGTGACTAAGGTGATTATCATATCAATCGTTGATGCACGGTGACCGTTTAATTTAGTAGTTATCTCGACCCTAGTTTTGGGATATTTTTTTTAAAATTAGATATGAGCCGCAACTTGACCAACATTGTCCTTTGGATATGTATAAATTTAAGTTAAAATACACATTCTGTGCAAATAAGAAAAATGGACAAGTTGCGGCTCGATGTAAACAAAGTCGTTGAAAACTGGTATGCATAGAGAATAATACATACCCTTTTCCATATCACATCCTGTATCAGCCCGAGACACCAATATCAGCCAGAGGGCCGAAGGCCCGAGGGCTGATATTGGTCGAGGGCTGATACAGGATGTGATGTGGAAAAGGGTATGTTTTATTATATTTATTACATACTTAGTAATAAAATACAGAACACATTCAGTTGAGAAGAAAGTAAGTAAATAATCATGCATGGACTTCTTACATACATGTACATAGTCTAATGTCTCATAAGATTTGGGTTTGTTTCTACTGTTATTTCAATGCACTTGATCCGTCATTTGAAAATATTCTATAGTATTGCATGTATTTGTAAATTAAGATTAACCTTATTTTCAAAAAGTTAAAATTAAGAGAATATGAACGCACCAACAATTGTGTATGATCACAAGTACTGTTTTGTGGTTTAATTTACTAAGGGTGTGATATTGACGTCACAATAGCCGTATCAGCCCTGCAGGGCTGATATGGATTTGCAGGGCTGATACGGATATCAGCCCCGCAAATCCATATCAGCCCTGCAGGGTTGATACGGCTACTGTGACGTCAGCCATATCGCATATGCAAAAAACCTGTATTTATTACTAAGTGTGTAATAAATATGAATAACAATAGAAATGAGAGAAAACTACTAGACCACCGTCTCAAAAGCTGGTGTCGCTCGTCATTGTTTAATACTTTCATGTTATATAATATACCAAAACCTGCTCTAAAGAAATTGTTTAATATCTATAAAACATAAATTGAATGAATTTTGGAATTTTATTTTGCGCAAAACACCGGGTTCCAACTCTCATAGCTTAAGTGCAGTCATTCTTTAATGCAATCCAGGAGAAGGATACATATATATATATATATATATATATGGAGAACATTCTACATTTACATTATAGAATTTTAATAATTAGTACCATTTTCAAACTGTTGACAAAGATGTGAGTTCCTCCAAATTCTGGAATCATGACATGATCCAGGCCAACGGGCACAAAGTGAGGTCACCTTGAAAGTGGGATCACATACCATCTGAAAAAATAAATATGTTTATTATTTAAAAATGTTATATTTTAATAATTATTTATCATTTTCATTTATGCAGAGTTTATCACTATTAAGTATGGTCAAACCAACTTTTGTATCATAAAAAATAGTATATGTTTTGATAACAATAATATATATAATAATATATTTACTTAAAAAAATCAGTATTAACAGACTATATGATTTTTTTTTTAAATAATTTAATTAATTTACCTGAACATTGAGGCTATGGAATCCCTTCCTGTTTACATAGTCAGGTTCATTTACTGATGGGGCTTGAATTCTTATCTGGGTCCCGTCAATGCAGCCCACAACTTTGGGAAAACCTGTCCATGAAATATAAGACTTAGTATAATTGACTTTTAAAGAAGATATTATATTATATGGGGGCATTGAAAGAATGAAGGTAATTGCTTCACTTGTATAATACTGTGGGGGAAACCCAAAACATGTGTACTTTTTAACAACAGGCTGGGCACCTTAAATTCATTTAAACTCTATTCTAGGTATTCTAAAAATATTTATTTAATTTTTTTTTCTTTTTTTTTTCTTGAATTGTCATTATTGATGATTTTCTGGCAAACAAAATTCAACAGTCAATTAAGTTTCTTTTTAAAAACACAGTAATAAAAACATGAAGAGGATATAAAATGCTGGAAATATGAAAAAAAGTATTTTATATTATAAATAAATAAACAGTTTATACACTGTAAGTCCTAGTTAAATGTGTTTCATGAGTTTTATGTTGTTTTGTTTTTTCTTGCTTTGTTTTTTTTTTTTTGTTTGTTTTGTTTTGTTTTTGTTTTTGCACTATTAAAGTATTGTCAATATACCGTAACTAATATTTCACAATATTTTTATTGACAATATTAACAAACAGAACAACTTTGCTTTGAAACTTTGTGTTGGAACTTGGATCCACCACCTTTTTAGAGAATTGCACTAAATACAGTTGTGGCCCTTAGCGGAACTCTTTAATAACTTCCGTACATGTCAGTGGGACTAAAGCATGCAGTTTGTTGCAAGGGATTTTTCATGAATTTACAGAAATGTAAGATTTCTTTCCAGTGCATTTATTGAAATAATTGTTTGTTTTGAACAATCTTTCAGTCATGTTTATGCAGAGTATTTAAAAACTTGCACATATCAGATTATCTCGCTAAAAATATGCACTGACTATTTTGTTTACAACTGATTATAGGGCTTACCAGCAACTCTTCTGAAGCCTTCCTTGACTTTGGTAGCGAGTTCACCTGAAGGGAATTTAATCAGATTCATGAAAACTGTGATGATGGCCCTCGCTACTGCTTTAACAACCCTCCCAGTCGTGCATTCCGATACGTTGAGACTGTCCCCGATCAGTCTTAAGTGGGCTCCTGTGGCAACAAAACGTAGGAATAGCAGCACCTGGATCAACGGAGGAATAGGACGGTTCCTGGCAGTGTCTCTCTGAAGGTGATCATGGACGCCATTCACAATAAAAAGGATGCTGGTTGGGGAAAAACGATATCTCTGGAAAATCTCTTCTTCCTCCAAAGACTCTAAGGGGTTACTGAGATCCCGAAATACCCTTGGGCGCCTCAAAACAGCTCGATTCAGCCTCCTACGACGTCGACGGAAGATAATGGAAGCCATTTTCAATGCTTGAGAATGGACTTAAGTTTGCTTTGTAGTAAACTCAAATATTTGAGAATAAAACAGATTTTGAGAATTTTTATTTTACTCAACTCTTTTATGACGGCCGCTGAGTCTGAGAATTTAGGATTTGAGAAAATTCTCAGACTTGAGAACATTCTCAGACTTAAGTATGGTTTATGACGGCGGACCCTGGTTCCTCTTTATGCACTTGTATGTGACAGTCACCTTCCAAGTGTTCCTGGGCATAATTGGGTGAGAGTCGAAGCTGATAAGTTCCACAAGTCAGGTTACGCAGTTGCTCTTCATCAAGATATGGAAAACCTAATGAACAAATTCGAAACATCATGGCTCTGCAAATATAACCTGTACATAATTGGGATGAAAATCCCAAACAATTTTCATTTAAGATAAATGTAACAATGTATATTTTTATCATTCTTTAAGTATACAAAATTTCATATATTGTATCAATAACAACTGGAGAATAGAATGCATACTATAACAGTACATAGTACATATACCATAAATACCTCTTAGATCTTCAACTGGTTCCCAACATCCAGAACGCCGATCTAAGTGTTGCTCCTCCACCTGCTGTTGTAGGACATTGACCTGCTTGGAGAGATGAAGCATCTTCAATCCAAGACTTTCTTCTTCATCAGCATTTCCACTGGAGAGGGGTTTCAGATATCTGTTAATATACATACATTTAACATTGAAATACATAATGCATTGATATTTATTACAGATTATCATGATTCAATAAAAATATTAACATAAATATTTCTTACCTATTGCATATAGAACACACAATCTTTATGAAATCTCCTATGTATGGAATCTGGCTTGTTGGTAAAACATGCCCTAGGTACTTCCACTGCTTTATCCTTGAGTTGGCAGATTCAACAACCCAACGGATCTAAAAAAAAAGATAAACATGTTTATTGTAAACCCAAAATTGCTAGTAATAACATACAGTGTACTACATTCATCAAAGGGAACTTTCATTTAATTTTATATTATTTCTCTCAATCCCTTCCTGACCTTTTTTCTTTATCCCTGACAATACACATACCTTCGTGACAAGACGACTTGTATTGGCACTCTCTGTGGACATCTGCTTTTCTCCTTTGGACATGAAACAAGGCATATGGGCTTGGATACCAAGTTCCTCCAAATAATCCATCGAGTCACGGAATCCACGATCAACGATAAAAATATCGTCCTCTTGTACCCAGTTACGAATGTCCTCAATGTTGGACTTCATGATGTGTTTGATGATACTGGCATCATTGTTTCGGGCAAGATATGGACCCATCACTGAGATAAATTGGCCAGTTGTTGACACTATGATCATGGGCTTCAGTAAAGGGCGTCCCTTATGTAAGCTGAAGGACTGTCGTTGGAAATGAAAATTTCCACTCTTGTTTATATAGATATATGTCCCATCCAAAACCAAAATCACCTGATTACCAGCTGGACTGCTTCCAAAAAGAGTTTGGGCAATCTGTCTTGTGTGATGCTGTATGACATCAGAACGTGTGATGTGCTGGAAACCCAGATTCTCTGACACAAATCTTCCTCCAAGAGCTGATCGTACAGAACTAATACATCTTCTGACACTGGATTTAGACACATTGAAGAGTGTGGACAAAACTCGATTAGATTCTCCTCTTCTGATTTTCATTAAAAATATTGCTAAACTTGTCCTCAGAGATCTTGCTGGAGTGAGCCGAACTTTTCCTTCGATGTATTGTAACAAGTCTTTAAATGAGTCCTTCGAAATCCCCATGAGATTCACATATTCAGCATCACTAAGACTTTCATCATTATTAAAATTTAGTCTAGTTTTCTCTTGCCTCTGAATCTCTGACCTCAGAAACTTGACCAGTTGAGCTATTGTTGTTCTATTAACAGTTGTTGTTTCAGAAATGGGTTGAAGATCCCCTATGTTTCCCTGTAAGTGATTAGGACAACATCTAGCTCCAGCAGGGATAATGATTTCCTTAGAAATGAATATCTGATGCCTAATGTTCACCGGAACAACGAGTTTTGGTCCAGGTCTCTTACAAATACAGCAAGAAGAGTGGCCTCTCGATGTGCTGGGAAATGGCAGCTGTACAGAAGGAGGACTAGCAGGCGTTGAAGACGATGGCTGAGATGTAGATGTCAGATTATTATAGACACTAGAACTCTGAAGTTTGTTTTTTCCTTTCCTAGTTCCCTTCACATGAGACTTACATATATGGCGGCACTTGTTGCACAGAAAATCTTCCTCGCTTGGTGTTCTTCCCGATAATCTGGTAACCACCGATCTTCGACTCTTCGAAATGGCATATCTGTCTGATTGTTTTGTTCTCCGAGGACAGATGAAGCACTTGTAAGTCTTTTTCCAGGCATCTATGAAGCAATGATAAAAATATTAAAAACAATTATGATGGGATATTTTTTTTGCATCATGTTTGAAATTTCATATGTTTTTCAGTGCGTAATAAATTGATTAACATGAAAAACACAATTTCTTTCCAATTTTAAATTCATGTGTTATTTTATTCCTTAGTGTCCACCCACAGACAGGTGTATGGACAAGGCAAAAACTAATTATACCCCCAAATCTTCAACTACAGGGGCATAAAAATCAATGCATTTAATCCTGCAACTTGCATTGACCTAATAAAGGTAACCTAATAAACTAAAACTTTGTCCAAACAATGCCTTAATAATGCCTAAAAGCATTGTAATGTCATGTATATTCAGCAGTGTTTACTCCATGGCGTCATACTTTCAACTGCAGAGCTGTGCCTTATTTTGTTGAAAATAGCTTGTCTTGGACATTCAAATGTAAATATTTTATTGCAGGATAAAAAAAAATAATAACTCTCTTGAAATATAAGCTATATATAGGCTTGGGTCAAAAATCTTCTCAAGAACCACTGGGTCAAAAACAAGAAAGGGCTCATCAAGCCACTCCCTCTATTACATTTTCTTACCTTCACCATAATATCGCTTACTAAATATTTTAAGACAGTAACCATGTTATTTATATATAAAAGCCTAAAAACAAAGGGGAGGGGGGGGCTTACCTTTCAACTAAATTAAGTCATCATAAAGGGTAGTCTGTTTAAATGTCTAGTTCAATTCCAAAGAACCATCACAAAGGAATCTCAAACTATAGTCATGAAGAATTTCACCTGCAGGGAAATGTAATGCAAATTAATTGTTGATCTAAAATCAGTACAAAAATAACAGTATAAGGCCATGCAAAATTATTTTTTCGGTTCTCAGGCCTTTTTTCAAGAAATATGTTAAGGGAGGGAGGCTTTTTTCTTTTTTTTTTACTTTTTATTGCCCCCAAAACATGATGAGGCAGCTTTTTACATTGTACAAAACCTCAAAAAATGATGAGGGAGGTGATTTGTTGTTTTTATTTTATTGATTTAGCAATTAAAAGGGTCAATGAGGTGCCCTTCGAAGAGATGAGGGAGGGCCTGAGAACCATGAAATTAATTTTTATTTGCCTAATATATTATCAAATGTTGAATAACGCTGTAATTCTTCCTAAATTTTCTTTTAATTATTAACAATAGTAATGTTTAAGTAATTAGGATTATAGGGTCCTAGTTTATGTAAATTATATATACTTTGTATGTAATTCCAAAATCATTTTTTTAATTCAATGTTAGATCCGCTCGCATACTCATTACACTAAATTCTAACAACATCCCATTGAGGGTCATGTCAAAGGTCGAATTTAGAACAGCTCTAGACTTATTCACTTCAACAATATAGGATGATTTTGAAGGCAAAGATTTGATTGGTTGATAGAATTTGACCATTGACATGACCCTCAATAGAATGTCATTAGTGTAGCAAAGATGCGAGCAGATCTAAGATCTAATTTTTAATTGGATTGTAAAAGAAATCAATGTATTATTATAAATGCCTTAAAACGAGGTGGGGGGGGGGGGGGGCATACCTCTCAACTAAATTCAGTCTTCATTAAGGGGTTCAATTCCAAACAACCATCACAAAGGAATCTCACACTATAGTCTTGAAGAGTTTCACCTGCAGGGAAATGTAATGCAAATTAATTGTTGATCTAAAATAAGTATGAAAATAACAGTATAATATATTATCAAATGTTGTCAGTTGAAATTATTAACAATAGTAATGTTTAAGTAATTAAGATTATAGGGTCCTAGTATATGTAAATTATATATACTTTGTATGTAATTCCAAAATCATTTTTTTAATTCAATGTTAGATCCGCTCGCATACTCATTACACTAAATTCTAACAACATCCCATTGAGGGTCATGTCAAAGGTCGAATTCAGAACAGCTCTAGACTTATTCACTTCAACAATATAGGATGATTTTGAAGGCAAAGATTTGATTGGTTGATAGAATTTGACCATTGACATGACCCTCAATGGAATGTCATTAGTGTAGCAAAGATGCGAGCAGATCTAAGATCTAATTTTTAATTGGATTGTAAAAGAAATCAATGTATTATTATAAATGCCTTAAAACGAGGTGGGGGGGGGGGGGGGGGCATACCACACAAAAAAATTAAGTCTTCATTAAGGGTGGTCTGTTTAAATGTCTTGTTCAATTCCAGACAACCATCACAAAGGAATCTCACACTATAGTCTTGAAGAGTTTCACCTGCAGGGAAATGTAATGCAAATTAATTGTTGATCTAAAATAAGTATGAAAATAACAGTATAATATATTATCAAATGTTGTCAGTTGAAATTATTAACAATAGTAATGTTTAAGTAATTAAGATTATAGGGTCCTAGTATATGTAAATTATATATACTTTGTATGTAATTCCAAAATCATTTTTTTAATTCAATGTTAGATCCGCTCGCATACTCATTACACTAAATTCTAACAACATCCCATTGAGGGTCATGTCAAAGGTCGAATTTAGAACAGCTCTAGACTTATTCATTTCAACAATATAGGATGATTTTGAAGGCAAAGATTTGATTGGTTGATAGAATTTGACCTCTGACATGACCCTCAATGGGATGTCATTAGTGTAGCAAAGATACGAGCAGATCTAACATCTAATTTTCAATTTGATTGTAAAAAAAAAATCAATGAATTATTATAAATGCCTTAAAATGATGTGGGTAGGGGCATACCTTTCAACTAAATTCAGTCTTCATTAAGGGGTTCAATTCCAGACAACCATCACAAAGGAATCTCACACTATAGTCATGAAGAGTTTCACCTGCAGGGAAATGTAATGCAAATTAATTGTTGATCTAAAATAAGTATGAAAATAACAGTATAATATATTATCAAATGTTGAATAACACCGTAATTCTTTCTAATTAATTTTCTTTTAATTTATAATTAATTATCATCCATAGTAATGTTTAAGTAATTTAGATCAGGGTATTATTATAAAAACTGTATATTTATTGCACACAAAAAAGTGTGCTGTTTCTCAATTTATTCCTCCATGTTTTTAAAATGTCACATCAAAATATTAACTAACTGTATGTTCCTCACATATATTCTTTCACCGTTTCCGCAAGAAGACATTTTTGTTGTTGCTGTTAAATGTTAAAAGCCCTCCTGGCCATGATTTGAACAAACTTGAATTTAGACCACATGAGGATGCTTCCAATCGTTAAAAAAAGACCAATCATAGCTTTTCTGTTCTTGAGAAGATGTTTCCTGTATATTCTTATTTAAAACGTAAACCTATAATTGTTGGCCCACCCTATCACCCAGGGTCATGATTTGAACGAACTTGAATTTACACCACCTACAGATGCTTCTATATTTCATGTTATATGACATGTCATGGCTTTGCTGCTCTTAAAAAAAAATAAAGATTTTTTTCTATATATTAATTAACTTATGTAAAACTTTGATCTACCATTGTAGCCCCACCCTACACCCAGGGGTCATGATTTGAACAAACTCAAACCTAAACTACCAGGGGATGCTTCTATATTAATTATGACCACTCATATGGCTTTGCTGTTCATAAGAAGATGACTTGAAGATTTTTCCTATACAATGTAAAACTTTGACCTTCCATTGATGCCCCATCCCACCCCCAGGGGTCATTATTTGAAAAAGAAAATTGAATCTACACCACCTGAGGATGCTTTCAGATAAATATGACTATTTGCTATTTGAGAAAAAGAATTTTAAAGATTTTCCCTTTATATTCTAATATATGTAAACTAATTAGACTGTCCATTGCAGCCCCACCCTTACCCCCAAGGATCATGATTTGAACAAACTTGAATCTACACTACCTGAGGATGCTTTCACCTGAGTTTCATCATTTCTGAACCAGTGGTTCTTGAGATTTTTTTAAAATACCTTTTTAAAAAATTCCAATAATTTTTCAATATTAAGACATTATGTATGTATTCTAAATGTGTAAAAAAAGGGGTGGACTTTTCAGATTACTTCTTAGAGATATAATCTTTAAGTTTTGAAAGTGACATATAATATATATTAGCAATTCACTCAAATCATATTATTTTATTTTTTTTTTGAAAAAAAAAATCTTTAATCAATAGGAGTGACTTCCCTTGCAAAAAAATAAAAAAAAGAACTAAAGTCAACAATTTACAATTATATACATTTTCTGACTTCATCTCCTTAACAACATAGTTAAAACTATATAATTAAACAACAAAATGCCTTTTTTATGGTCCATTTTGATTTTCTTGTTATGTTTGCAATTACTGCACAGTTATACACATAAAGATATAATATTTTCATTTTTTGGCACCGTTTCGCGGCCTCTGTAAACAAACTCCGATTCTCAATGTAAACAAGAACATCAGTAAAGTAAAAGTAACTATAGTCTGTCCCACCAAGTTACTGTAAGCACTTTTCGCATAAAATCTCAAAATATATAAATACCTTGGCTTTCAACCCAGTTCCGATTGATAGATCATTTTTTTTCCAACCTTCCACCGTTTATCCGAACCCTCGAGGTCAACCAGTGTATACACACGGCGGCAAATTCAAAGTCTACGGAGATTTAACATTGTCAAAATGGCCACCACTTCGGAAGGGGATCATCCATTGTTCGTAATTTTCCGTACGTCGTCGTCAGTAAGGAAATGACGTCACACACGTTCGGGAGTGCTCTATGGTTATCGACGTCCGAAAAACCTATAACGCCCGAGACTTCCAAGTATATTTTTATACTACAAGAAATATTACTTTTTCAACAAACTTTCATACCCAGACTGAGACCCAAGGGACCAAAGATTCATAAAAGGGTTAGTCACTGCATAAAGGCAAAGAGGTATGACTCAATTCATACATAACATTTCGATAGAATAATCGAGGCTAGGCTACTGCAAATTTAGCTCAAGTAAAATTAGTTTTATAATTTATAGCCAACACGTATAACATTAGAGATCAATCAAAGAAATATCACTAGGATTAAGATTTTTAAAAATTATAATTGCTGCCTTACCTTAACGTTTCACCTTGGCTTTCCTTATAAATCCAACTCCTTTACGTTTGTTAAAAAACTGTAACACACGGTCAAAATAAGTCATATTGTCGTTTCTATATGTCACAGTATGTGAACAAGTGATGTCCTCACATGCACGTGCCACAGTATTTCTTGACTTTGTCATACTTCCAACTCTTTGAACACATAAATCCTTCGTTGATATTTTATTTTTAATCTCGGTGCAAAACAACGTTTGTTGTCTGCATCAATTAAACTACGTCACCAATGAATTTTGACCTTGCCCTTCCAAACCTTCCTGTAATGTATCGGTGTTAGGTAAATTCAGACCCAGGATATACATTTTTGTTTACCTTAAATATAACAGAATGCCAAAATTTAAAATATTCCTATACACATAAAATTAAAATACATAACGCACGTGTGAAGGATTATGATTTTAAAAAATATATTATAATTTTTTTCCTTTCCCTATTTCAATAAAAAAAATTTAACAGAAAGCCTTTTAATTTTTATGAGTTTTCAGAACAAAAATTTTCATTGCAGGAATCTGAATAGCTGCCTGGTGCAACTACAAGACAGAAAAGCACAAACATGTACATTATACATATAAAGCCATAAGTACCTGCAGATACATATATATTGAAGGTATGAAATAATGCAGGTTTCTTGAGTTTGATTTTTGAGTCCCAGCAATTTTTTTTCCTTTTGTATTTGTAAATTTTCAAAGTAAGTTTATTCATTGACAGTTCCCTAGTACGCAAACATGCATATATGTCTATATCATATACCTAGTAGTGTATCAGCTCTGATACAGATGTTTTGGACTAGGTGAGACAGTGCCTTGTAAGGCCAAAAAAATAATTATCTTGTTTCCTGCTACCAGCCTGAAAAAAAATTGGGTATAGGTAGGCAGGAAAATTATTTTATTTTCTAATTTCTTTTTATTTTCGATATGAACTAATATAAAACCAAATTAAACATGCCATAGACCAATATATTCATTACAAATTAAAATTTGTCTTTTGATGCATGACTCAAGTGGTATGTTATGAAAGTCTATATTTAAAACATATACATGTAGTATCATAAAATATCACTTGAATATACATTATTTTTTCCAGTTTTGGAACATGAAATTACAGAAATTCCAGATTTTTTCCGAAACCTAAAAAACTTTAGGGTCAGGTGCAAGGTAACAGGAAACAAGACTATTATTTTTTTGGGCCTAAGTAGAGCTGTCTCGCCCTCGAGGCTGAGATATCTCTGTCTTGGCCCATTGTCAAGGGGCTGTCTCACCCACAAATGTCAAATCATTATTTCTGTTTATTTGAGTAAATTAAGAATAAAATTCATATTTAAGTATAATATAAGTAAGAGATTTTATATCAAAAATTTGATATAAAATCTTTAAAAATTATTTATTCATGGTAGAATATTGAGAAAATTGTTTTTAAAATTGTAAAATACTTTGGAATCATTTTATGATACCTGTCTAAAATAGGCAAAGTAATTTTGAAATACTTTTACAGTAAAACTCGTTTAGTACGAACACAGATATTGCGAATTCACAGATATAGCAAGGTAACCTTGGATCCCCAGCTATGTAAATGTAATGAATTCCTTATACGGATAAACAAATTATGGTCATAGAAAAGTATTTTCATAGGTCCCATTGACTTTTCATAAACATGTTAAACAGAGTTTTACTATATCAGGTAAACATTTTGACTTTTTACAAGACCTTTCTGAGAACTTCAAACAACCTTAAAGGACATTGAGAAGTTATAAACATTATCATGATAAAATGAAAACTTTTGCATGAAGAGATTTAATTTTTCAAAATTCATTTTGAGATTCTGAATTAAATTATAAATTAAAGAGTTATCCTTCTTGGCTGAGGATCCAAGTACCTTAAACATTAAGTCTTGTAAAATTATAATTGCTTGAAACATAAAACAGTTTTAGATTATAGGATAACCAGTTTGTTTGAACTGTTTTCATTGTTTTATTAAGTAAAATTTAAAAATATTTTAAAAGATAAATGAATTGTTTGTACTATATTTAAGGATATTAGATCAAAATCAGAAGAATAAATGTCTATAAAAGTCAAGCGCCCACTGATGCTGGAGTCCATGCTGTAGAAAAGACATGAAACAGAAGTGAGAAAATGTCGACATCAGTCATCTATGACTGAAGATGGAGATTGTCTCTTTTCTAAAATTTCCGAGGAAATGGTGTTGTCTGGCTCATCCAATGATCACTCCATTTGCAGACTACCAGGTAATCTTTGGTTTTGTCAATACTTTGTGCCTGAAAAAAAAAATTGATAAAACATTTTAATTCGTCATAAAGATTTCACTTTTCAGTGCATAAAAAATACTTTTTAAATTGTGCAAAGTGAAATTTAAAGATACAATACAAATTCAGATTGGCTCATCATATTAATATGAAATGTTTACTTATTAAAAATACCTATACTTGGTCAATTCTCATTTTCAGGTTCCAATCTGAAGTATACATAGGAAGAGCAAAATCTTTCTCATTCATGTAAACACTTACTACCTGTGATCCAGAAGGATGTCCTGATTGTTTAGTCCAACATAAGATGGATTTCAATGCGACAAGTTATTCTGAAAATTGAGTGAACAGTTCTCTTAATGCAGGCATGTCTTTGTTACAACATCTCTGAGCTCTGTATGGTCATCAAAACTTTGGACTCTTGTGAATTATTCAACCTATAAAAACATAATTTTAGAAGTAATAAAAGTATAATCAAATATTCTATGCTTCAGTTATAATTACATTTTTTTATTATAAATATGTGTTTATTCCTTCAAATGGTGAGATTGTGCAGTATTAAAGGTGCTTAGACACAGATTTGCAGTTATTATTTTCTCAAATTTTCTGTAAAATATCACGACTTATATAACAAGAGGCTCATGAGCCACATAACTTATAATTACCTGGATAGCTTTGATCATGCAGTTCTTTACCAGATTTCCCCCTTGTTATACCTTTTGTGACCCAACCTAACCCCTGTGGTCATAATTTGAACAATTTAAATCTACACTACCCCACAATGATTTTGCCTAAGTTTCAGCTTTGCTTGCCTAGTACCGGTAATTCCCAAGAAGATTTTTTTTATAGATTTTCTAGCTAGCTTGTATATTTCAATGTAAAACTTGGGTTCCCTATTGTGGTCCCACCCTACCCCCAGAGTCATAATTTAAATAATTCAGAATCTACACCACCCCATGATGCTTCTACATAAGTTTCAACTTTTCTGGCCCAGTGGTTCTCTGGAAGAAGATTACGAATGCTGAGGGAAAAATATACACTTGAAAGATTAGAGGGAAAATTGTAACATGTATACACATCTGACAGGTGCTCAGAGCTTCAACAAGAGGCCCATGGGCCACATCGCTCACCTGAGCACTGTGGCTACGAAAAAGTAGAATTGGTTTATTATTGAAAAGCTTAAATCCAAAAGTAGTCCCATGACCAATCACGGCTTTGCTATTCTCAAGAAGAAGATTTTTAAGGAATTTTCCTATATATTTCTATGTTAAACTTTGGTCGGCCATTGTGGCCCCGCCCTACCCCCGGGGTCATGATTTGAACAAACTTGAATCTACACGACCTGAAGATGTTTCCCCATAAGTTTCATCTTTCCTGGCACAGTGGTTCTTGAGAAGAAGATTTTTTAAACATGCCAACAAATTTTCATTAATTCCAAATTATCTCCCCTTGAATGAGGACGTGGCTCTTCATTTGAACAAATGTGAATCCCTTTTACCCAAGGATACTTTGTGAAAAGTTTGGTTGAAATTGGCCCAGCGGTTCTTGAGAAGATGTTGAAAATGTGAAAAGTTTACGGACAGACAGACGGACAGACAGCTAGACAGCTAGACAGACGGACGCCGGACAAAATGTGATCAGAAAAGCTCACTTGAGCCTTCGGCTCAGGTGAGCTAAAAATCATTCGCAATACATGTATTTAAAAAAGACAGGATATTTTGAAGATCTTGAACATTATAGTAAACTTACTGCTTTTGTTATGCATATCATCTTTACTTTAGCCAAAGGTTTCTGGTCTGCTTCTCTCCTTATACCTGTATACTGCAGTGGCTAAACCAAGCTTAACATTGCTGAAAGAAGAGAAAGTGTCATAAAGAGTACAGGACATCAATTTCGTTATAAACTATCGTGTTCCAAGAAACACATATGTCACCTGCTTTAAGTTGAAATCATCATAAATAATTACCGTATAAGCAGAATTTTTAGCGAGGATTTAATTTTGGCATTATTAGCGAGGGTGCTGAGATCGCTAAAATTGAAAATCGCAAAAATTAATTGCGTTCTATTTGCAATTGCTTATTTAGTGGGCATTTTGAAATCGCTAAAATTACATCTCACTAAAAATAAAATACCATTTTTTTAGGTAAAATCGCTAAATTTGCGTCTCACTAAAATTTCCACTTATACGGTATTTATCATTTTACATGTGTTACATGTTTCAAAGCAATTGTCACATTGCACGATCCACTTTGTGGGATTCCAACCCAACGTATTTTCATAATATTTAAGATATCAGTTTGTGTGGCTTACGGAATATCATACAGTTTAAAAGAACAGTTTTATGAGCTCATAAACATGTATATAATTAATGTAAATTATCAACACCCGTCACTGAATATTCAAAAGTCTTTTTTTTTCTGGGGTATCTTTGTAAAGTAGGTCAAAGTTCAAGTCAACCAAATACAGTACTAGCAAATAAGGACAACAATATAAACAAATTTCTTTGATGTACTCAGACTGACCCATCACAACTGTCCCAACCCTGTCCCAATCATTTTTTCAGCACTTTGAATTTTTGATTTTTTTAAAAAAAATTGTTTATTTATTAAAAATGGATACGGTTTCCTTTTAAAATTGTGGACTCTTTTAGATTATTTTTTTTTTAATGATAAATATTTCATCTGTCTGGATATCCAGTGTGTATTGAAAATATTAATAAATTTCTGAGTCTGAAATTTTTTAATGACACTTTGATATCAATTTGATCAATACCATTAAGCCAGAAAAAAAGATACCTACCTACCCATCTTGAAAAATGTGTGTCAGAGTACATCAAACAAAAATAATTTAATTATGGCCTACGGTTTTTAAAAACAAGTACTTTAAATAAAAATCTAGGAATTAAGGAAATAGAAATTTTCAAATTAAGTTCACATTTGAGCAGTACAGGACTTTACAGAAAAAATGATGCTGTTGAGGCCATGTGCAGCTTTAAAATAGTCTTGCCCTCTCCCAACTCAGGATTAGGTAAGGTAGGTAGATGAGAAAATTATTCTCAGAAAAAGTAATTATAAATTTTAAATAATTTATTCTCCAGAATACAAAAAAAGTTAATTGCTTCCTGGAGATTTAAAAAAAAGAAGTTTTGAGTCATTTTAGCCAGTTGGTTGGGACAGGGCAATCAAAATTTTTTTTTGAGATGACCATGAGACTGAGAATTTGAACTCTGAATATGTGCATGACAGCTAGTATTAATGGAAATTTCCCTCTGATGTTACATGTATATCAATTTTATTTTAAAGTCTGTACTCAGATGAAATGATTCAGCCTATCTAAACTTCTTATGCTGATCAAATTATACAGACATCTTTTATTTATTTTTTTCTGATTCCTTTCATGAATATGCTACATATATAATTACTTTCTCATTTTCTGAAACAGTTCATACATATTCATCTACCTTATGCCTGGTTCTGCTAATTAATTCATCAATAGGCATGCATGTACATAAATGACCATTAAAGAACTCGATCAATCCAAAGACTTGATGAAAAAATACATGCACATTTTAATATTATAAAAAGTTTTGAAAAATATTCCAAAATGTGTTATCTGTTGAAAACTCTGTTTTGATGTCCCCAGGGTGTTGACACTACACATAAATGAAAAAATGAAAATGCACTTTTGATCTCTAGCTTGTTATTTATTTGCCAAATGCATGTATACTCATGAAATGATATAAATTGAAAATGAAAGTAGGAACAATTTTTTTTTAAACTTTAGTTACTATGTTAACTAGCTGTTATTTTCTTTTTTGTTATCATTTAACCTAATTGTTTAACCATATCCGTGTTCTTTTATAATCATAGAAACACCCCTTAACATTTTTCACACATGGGCTTACATACAGACCGTTACGGAACACTAACCATGCTAACGGTAAACCATTGAGCACTAACAAGAGAGCTGTTGTTCTAATCAGACTAATGTCAGCAATATCACGCGTTTTGAAATATATATATTCTTAGCATTTGTAGACACTTCTTTCTTGTGTGTATATAAGCTAGTAAAACAACAACAGCTGCAAAAAAAAAAAACCCATAGAATAAATAAACAACTTACGTTTAAAACACTGGGCCTGGCGAGCTTGCATCATCATGTCAACAGCCATTATCCACAAGTTGTACTTCGTTAGATTCGGATTATTTTCTCGTAGTTTATAATTAAATTTGTTAAATGCTGTTAAAATTTATTTTAATTCAAAGTAAAAGTTAAATTATCAATAAAAGCAATTTAAATTAATTCCTTTAATTTTTAACGATTTTTTGGAAATTTACTTTGCAAAGAACGACTACTCCCTTCGAAAACTGGTTCCCGGCCCCGTAATCTAGACGCTAATGGACGAGTTTACCATGTTAAATCTCCGTAGACTTTGAATTTGCCGCCGTGTGTATACACTGGTTGACCTCGAGGGTTCGGATAAATGGAGGAAGGTTGGAAAAAAAATGATCTATCAATCGGAACTGGGTTGATGGCCAAGGTATTTATATATTTTGAGATTTTATGCGAAAAGTGCTTACAGTAACTTGGTGGGACAGACTAGTATTGAATTTGGAAGCCAAGGAACTATATAAATTGTGTAGAATTAATTGAAATCGTGTATACAGTTCTTACATGCCCTCCAGCCAATAGGAAATGTAGCTTAGGCCTATAGCTGACGATAGGTAGATATACTGAGCTAGCTCCGATTGTTGTTAAAATATTGCTGTAAAAATCTTTAAATCAGAGTATGCAACAGCTGTTCAGTGGGTAAATTGTACTAAACTTTATGTTTTTCATATACTTACAGTCTTGTCTTATGATTTAAAGCTCAGGAAACATCTATAGCAGGCACAGACATCAACCGTGTATTTTACTCTGTTCATAAACGGAACAGACGACAATTTCTCTTCTTCCCGCTAAATGTCAAACGGTTTAATTTCGATAACAGCGCATACGTCGCTGATAACTTTTTTGTCGGAAATTTGTTTTGGGGAATTTCATTATTTATTTAAACTTTAAAAATCTATCAGCGAGGAATGCGCTATATTAGAAATATCTCCCCAAAGTTCAAAAGGGAGGCGAAATTCCGGAAAAAATCAAATACATGCATAGGTTTGACTTTTATTGTGCAATACCAGTATCCTGTTTGATCAAAATTGTATAACATGTGAATCGAGTATGTGGTAGGGATGAAACGGAAACACAGAAAAATTCAATTAACAACACTTGATTTTTCACTAATTAACTAGGCCGTATTTGGTGGAAAGCGAATTTAATTCTTTAAAGAATCTAATTGCATTCTTATATATGCCTGATTAAATTTTAAAACAATGGATTGAAGAATCTTTTACAATTGTACGTGTTATGTACAAGATGACTGACAGATTTTTCATTCTCGGCCATGTTGTAAAGAAATCAACACAGGTTAAACGATTTAAAGCCAGTCAAAAATTCTTGAAACGCATGGATATTTACACCTGTTTCCATGGCAATATTTTTGGTTAGGGTTTTTAAAGCTTGATTGCATAATATATACATTTACATGTACATATATTTTGTACCTGCAATCATTTAAATGCCAATGTTCTGTGACGTAGATTCTGTATACAAATACTGTTAAAGTTCTTTTATATTGATTATATTGGTTGCTATGTGCTCAAAATCGTTGCCATGGCATTATCCAATAATAAAAAGAATTGAATAAGATGCTAATTGCTTTCTTTTTATCTGCCTGATTCATTTTTTACAAAATGATTGAAGAATCTTTAACATTTGTGCATGAATGTGCTAAAATTATCATTCTATGATGTGTTGCTAAGGAGAAATTCCTGTTTCCATGGAGATATGAAATTGTAAAATGGTCCCTCATTTGCAGAAAAGTCTCAAAAATTTAATTTCTTGTAAAATTTGATTTCAGAATTTAAAAATAAGAAGTTATGTTGCGTATGATTTCAGGATTTTACATATTTTCTCTTTTTATTCATAAAAACATCCATTTTTGTTGCTAGGCAACGGATAGGAAGTTAAAAAAATTATACGCTTCTGAATTCAAATTCAAAAAGAACAAATCCTCTGCTTTTACATTATATACACAAGATGTCTGTATCAGGTCCATCATTTGAGTAATTCGACACCGAAAACTTCCAAAATCAAGGAAATTGCTGAGTCAGCAAAACAGGAAAAACATGTATATATACCCATATCTATCATACAAATATCTTAAATCTTATTTCTATTTTTTTTATTGTGAGAGCACTTAAGATGTTTATCTCGAGAATAAAAGCAATAAAAAAGAAATTTCTTTATTAATTACATTTAATTAGTGCCTCAAAGATAAGGAATTTTTTCGTCCATCCAAGCCGAAAATTGGCTAGTTGCTAAGGAAATTTCTTTACCCTCGTTTCCATAGTAACCACGAACCAAAACATTTTTTATTTTACATACATGGTTCATAGTGCAAGAGAAAACTATGTGTGGAAAATCATCAAATTCTGAGAACCCTCATATATCACCCTTTGCGTGATTTTTACACGGAGCTGTACTTAACATAGGAAGATCCTGTTTCAGCGCATGATCTGAGAAAAAGTATTTTTTTTTTATTTAAAGAAGAGACATTTAAAAAAAATGTGTTGTCTGAACATAACGTCATCTCCAACACGTACACGGCTGCACGGTCGATTCCTTATTTTTTAAATTAAATTACGCATTGATTGATAATTTGGTTAATATACTGTGAAGTATAAAAAGTTGAAAATGGTTGTATTATAGCCATCAAAATTATTTCGGAATATGAATTAGTAAACTTTCCATTTTGCATACTGGTATGTACATGTATTTACATTGTACGGAAGATAAATACATTGTTTAAAATATAAAAGTACTCTGAACGCATTCTGTATGAAATTTTATTATTTTTTCTAAAGAAAATAGAAATGATATACCCCAACAAAAACCAGCTAGTCTGAAACTCTACCCTGATAAGAAGACCGTGTAATATAGAAGTTAACGCCTTTATCAAGAAATTAAAAACCTAACACAAATCGCGTGTATTTTATTGCTATAATCTTGTTGTTTAGAGAATTCAAATCCTTTTAGAATATTTTTGTCTTCCTGACACGCAAAACCTTTATGCCATTAAATACATGAAATAAAAAAACTAAATGTGTCAAAAGCATTTTTCATTGCCTATTTTTTTGAAAATAATTGTTTTCTAGTACATGAACGAATTTTGAAAACTGAGAGTCGGAAATAGAATTATAGTGTTCACTTTGAATGCCTCCATCCTTTTCCCATGTAAATTGTGAATGATTTACCTCAACCCCTATAAACAGCGTTATTTTATTTTCGGTCGGTATAGAGTACATATTAAACGTAAATGAAATACATGTACATTGCGTTTTGCTAGAATTGAAGCATTATACAAGTGGATGCATCTTCTAGATTTAACGTGTGCAGTGACAAATGTTCTTTCGTAATAAATTGAAAAAAAAATGAATAATGGGCTGGGAAAGCGGTTTTTTTTCATTTTTAAAACATTTAACGCCCTCTCCGGCCTCAAACAGCGGTCTGTCCTTGTACATACTATATTTTCAATATTTTTAGAAATCGATGGAGAGTTCAGTTCTTTTTTTAGTGGGATACGAGTCAGAAGCAACCAGCTCAAACTTGAAAAACATATATTGTGTACCGTGTATAAACATGTATATGAATGGAGGGGAAAAGGGGCGGGGGTCTTGGTTAAGGTTTTTTTTCCAAATACACGACTCTCTCCTCCTACCTCTTAAAAGCGGCCCCCGGTTTGCACAATGTATTTCCTAAGGTTGGGTTTTCGTTACTTTTATACATATAGATATTTAATAACTCAAATGGAACATTTCAAAATGAGGGGACACCCCCCCCCCAAAAAAAAATAAAAAAAACTCGACTGATGAATCGTAAATAGTTTATAACACTTAACATCTCAGGTTACCTGCATGCAGTCTATCAGCTTTGTATCCTATTTCATGCTTCTTTTGATACAAGATTAAACGAAAACTAAAACTGCATTTTTGACAGATGGTCTACTCAAGCATAGATCAACCACAAATTTAGCTGCAGAACTGTAGATATCCGAAAAAATATATGTTGACAGACCGGAGAGCTACAGTGCCATCCATTTAAAAAACTATATATTTATTGCCCACAAAAAAGTGCGCTGTTTGATTTATTTCTCCATGTTTTTAAAACTGTCATCTCAAAAAATTACTAACTGTGTGTTTCTAACATACTCTTTCACTGTTTCCATAAGATTATCGAAAATTTAGCCCATTTATACTGCCATTTTGGTTTGCAAGATAATTCGGTCCAACACGCTTCTTACAAGTATCAACCACGAGAGTACTTGATAGAGGAGTAAGGACTTTTTTTTTCAATTTAATTTTTTTTGCATCTGAATTTGAAGAATTAATATAGAGCCGAGCGCACTTTTTTGTGCACAATAGATATACAGTTTTTTTCAATGGAAGGCACTGTAGCTCTCCAGTCCATCAATATATTTTTCAGAGAGCTACAGTTCTGCAGATACCACAAATTATGAAAATCGCCCTCCATTAGATCACTAAAGTTAAAGATTCATATGCTAGTACATCGCATTCATTTCTGATAATTAATCCTTCCTATATATTGACAATACTCGAACGAAGCCCAATTATCTTTAATATATTTTTCAGTTACACCAGTCCACTTGCGATCTTTTAATAGGAAAAAAATATATACAGTGTTAATTTTTTAGACCCGGTTCTTTGCGGCTCACCCCTTTCCGTGTGTACGGATATCAGGCGTTAACAAAATTTTAATTAAATGTACCGATCGTATTATGATTTGAAATAAATATTTTAAACATACATAAACTCACCCTAGAAAAATTTAAAAGAAGCTTCACAAAATTCCAAATTTTTTCGTATTTTGTATCTTAAAAATATTCATGGTAACATAATTAAAAAGAATTGGTGGTTTAATAAAACAGTGTAGCTGCAATAATGTAGCCACCCAGGGAGGGTACCGGGTGGGGGGGGGTACCCTCTCCAAAAAATATCAGATAAAAAAATCGGAGAGTGTTACATTATTGCAGCTATAACAATAAAACATGAACAGTTATTCAATAATTTGAGATTGAACACCCCCCCCCCCCCCCCCTGAATTAAAGAAAAATACACCCACCCATCCACCCATCCCCACCCCCCCCCCCCCCCCCCCCCCCCCCCCCAAGAAAAAAATAAAAATAAATAAAAATAAAAATGCTCAATCACTTTATGCTATACTAAATTAACTGAGGAAACCAACACTTGAGAAATACTAAAAAAAAGTCAATCAATAAGTTGAAAGCATTATAATAATGTATTCAAAACAATTCAAAATAATAGCATTTTTTAGTTCTGTGTTTTTATTCTCTCTCTCTCTCTCTGAAATTGTATTTGTCTATATAATGTTTTAAAAGGTACAACTACACACATGTAAAGTTTATCAGAACATTATACTAAAAATAAAAATATAGATTAAATATATTACTGTGTAAAAAATATATAGGGAATATGTCCCACCGCAGGATTACCATAATTGAAGAAAAAAACTCCTAAAACGTCAAACTAGGATCTCAAAAAAGTTTCAGAAACAACTTTTTTTCTTTAATTGGTTTCAAAAACAGATGCCAACTTACCTATACACTTAAAGTCCTCCTGTCGATAGTTAGTGCAACATTTCAGATTTCCCCTACAGATAAACATTATAATACAAGATTTTTTGTTAAATACGATACATATTATTTACGTAATGGATGTTTTATTAATGATATCATTATTTTGTAAAATACCCTGACTTGCAAACTCCTAGTCCTTCAGTAAGTCCAAACGCTGCAAAATATATTTGTAATGTTAAAGTTATCAAACAGGGAAATCATCATTATTCTTTTTAGGGGGGATTTCGTCCTTTTAAATTGTTTTTTACATTGTTTGAGATATTGACGGATTTTAGTATGTGACTTAATCTTTATTGTTAAAGATAAACTTTGCACTTTGATCATTGGATGGTCAAACTTTTTTGATTTTTCGTTTGTTTGTTTGCTTTCTCTAAATTTGACAACGGAATGTTTCGTCTACCTGATCAACACATGTGGTCTATTGCAAGTGTGACTAGTCAATACAGGATTATTATTATACCCAAAGGTTCGGAATCCCATTTTTGGAATTTCCCAGGTTTATGTTTAATGCCCTGTTTGCAGATTTTAATAATTCTTAGCTTGTTTACTAAAT